TGGAACACCAGAATGTCATTCCTCCGCTAAAATTTCTCCCAATGGTGCTATTCGTTTTCCGGCACTCTTTATGGGCGCTGGCACCGTTTAAAGACAACTTGGTACGGTACCGTCTCCATTAAATTCATTTAGTAAACTTAAATGAAAGGGCTATTTTGGGCCTTGATCACAGATGCGATATTCCTTTGCCAAAAGTCCAGAAAAGGGTCAACTCTCCGCTGTTCCAGTTCCAAAATTTGACGACTACCCCTCTTTCTCATAGATTGTCTCGATACAACTTCTCACCACCACCGTCCAGCCTTAGGGGGGGGGGGTTCTTCCCCATTCCCGACCACCACCCTCACCATCCAGGCCGTCTTCTGTAGTATGTAGTTGATTCTGGATTCTCGTCCACACGCTCACACGCTCCTACTCCCCCACTACTTTTCCTCCAAAACATCCCTCCAGTGGAGATTGACTCCCAGCCATTTTGAAAAAAAAAAATCCCAGCCAAATATAGTTAAAAGTAATTCTATTCATCCAAATTTTTCCAAAGTCAAAAAACCCGTCAAAAAAGCCCCTCTCTTCCGCTACCACGACCCCCCAACTTTCAAAATTACGACCAATTTTTCGACATTTTCACCTTCACCAACCCTAAATACGACTCTACTCTTAGAGAATTGCGCAAGGCTAGTTGATCCTAGTCCACGGCGCTCAGTTATTCAGATGTTTTTGTTGGAACTTCAATGGCTAGTCCACAAAATCTCCTTACGTGGGTGTGGTTACTCCAAAACCATGCCCATTTGTCGTGCTTTTGAAGCGGTACATCAGTACAGTCACAATTATAAAGTTGGTTAAAGGCAGCGATTACGATAAAGAGGGAGCGCATCGGGGAAGCATATGCACCACACGAATCAGTTACTTGGCTGCCAGGGAAGCGAGATGTGGCGCTTTCACGACGAAAGGTGCGCTGGTTGCTGAGCAGGACTTCGAAAGCACTCCGCCCCCAAAAGCGATCCGCCCACTAGTTTAGTTGGTGATTTGGACGAGCTGCGTTGCGCACAGCTGGAGCAACTCGATTGGAGCGTGGTTTGGCATGGTGTCCACCAAACGCGTTGCAGCGTGGTTTGGCCATGGTGTCACCAAACGCGTTGCGATGAACTCCGCGTTCTGAGCTATTACCAGTTCATGACTGAAAACGAATGGCCAAAAAACTGGGTCACCTTTTATGTTTTTTTGGAGGATTTTTCCGCTTTTCGTTCACTTGGCTAACCATGGAGGCAGCCATCAGTCTCTCTAAAACCTTCTAAAACTATCGTCTATCGCTGCCTTTAAAGGTTATCGAAGCGCTAAAGGCGGCGCATGTCGGAGGCACAAAAATGATGGCGCATATGTATTCGATGTATATCATACTGTTCGAGTCTTCTCGTTCTTCATTTGAATGCAATTAGATCTATGTAACAAAAGACAGACAGCTGACTAACAAATTAGTGTTTTTCTCAAATGGATCTGGTACAAATTACAAGGCCGGGAAGAACATGGCTAAGGGTTCGTGGTCTGAATTAAGCTCAAATTAATCAAAGCTGGACTTTTCTGCAAATATTCGGACTGATCCATTCCGGGGCGGAAGTGGTGTAGTGACAAGTGGCGCGCTTACCACGCGGTCCGGGGATCAAATCCTGGGTCGTGAGTCGCCCGGGCCAACCAAGCCTTCCATCCCTCCGGGGTCGGTTAATTGGGTACCAGACTTGTCTGGGAGGATAAAAACACTGACTTGTACATCGGCTGGCCCCCGCAAGTCATTGTATAGGCCACATCGCATTCAAACGCCACTACGAATGTACAAATGGAAGTAGAATGCGTGCCGCATCCCAAAAAGGGATTGATCAACGGCAAATGCTTTATCCTTTATCCTTATATATTGACTTATATCACCTTAGCCCTGGTGTTACCTCTCTTAATAATGGGAGGCTTAGAAAATGTTACGCTAGAATTATCTGTTAGAGGTGCTAACACAAGGCCATACTTCGAAAATAAGTCTAGAAACAGTACTCCAGAGAAAAGAACATTCGTCCATGCGGCTCTGAGCCAGGTGTTCTGAGGTTCGTCCGTTTTCAAAAAAAAAAAGATGTCTTACGCGGTTTCAGCTGCCCAGCCGCCACAATGTCCGTGTATCTTACGATGGGGCCCTGTTATTTAATCGCAGATAATCTTGAAAATGGAAAGTTTCTCAAGGGTCATCTTTCTGAATCGCTTCGGGCCTTCGATGTGAATAGTTCTGTTTTCCTGCCAATATTGATCTCAGCAAATCACGCATGAAACCGACATGGAAGTGACACCCCTAATGGAAGTTTTTTTCCAGACTGCAGTGATGTTGATGGTGTGCTAATTTCCGTAATCTGTTTACTTGTCGCAAGCAGTCGTCAGTTCGATTTTAGAAGGTGAGACTTGATAAGTTTTTCAAAAGAGAGAAAACGTTACCGTTCCATGGTGACGCATTGTCGGAGAGACACACAGACGTAGTACGCGTACGAGGACGGACAGCTAGTAGTGAGTGATGGACAAGAAGAAGTCAACAGAATGGAGTACTATTTATCTGTCCCGATACCGAATCTGTGTTTGATTAATGACACGCATTTACATCACAAAATCAGGTTCCGTCTTAAAAACACATCGAGCTCTCGATTATCCCACCCATTTCTTCGAGGTTATTTTCTTCGTTTTTACTGTGGAGTCATGAGGTGCCTAATATACGAACAGCACACCTCA